ATATCGACGATTCCGACGACTCTGATGATTATCAGGGTGTTGACGAAGTCAGTGATGGCGAAGATGAAGAGTTGATGCTGGAGAAAATTGAAGAGGAGATCATTCTTGAATCTGAAAATGAAAGGTCTACATTAAGCAGGCTGGCCGGTAGTGTCAGCGGAGGGGACGAATGGACGGGGTTAGATGACCTTGAGCACCGCCCCTTTTACTCTGCTGGCTCTTTCTTCGATGATGAGCATCTTCTCCTACAATCTGGAGGACACAGTGACGCCGTTGATGCAGGAATGACCAGCGAGGCGGCTGAAACACCTGTTCAACGACGGGTTCACTTTGAGACGGATGACTCGTCCGACTCCGATAAATCTAGTGATGAAGATGAGCTATTTCCTGATTTTTTACACCAGGATCAACTTGACCCTGATCTACGACGCATGATCGAGACGGATTCGACTCCTGGGCGATCACAAACTTCCCTTGATCTGTTTGTCAACAGTGACTTTTGTGACTTGCCTGATAACATCTATCATGTGGAGGAGTCCGATAACTCGATGGGAAGCTCCAGTGGTTACGAATGTAGGTTCCTTGTTGCTTCTTTCACGAAGCAGATCAGCTTATTCTTTTTTGTCGTTTCTTTTTCTAAAATATTTCTTTTTTTCTCATATACTGACTATCGTCTGTTCCTCTCTGCAGCTGATGATGGTGAAACCACGGATGAGGAGGATTACCTTCCTCTGGCCACCATCACTCATCCAAGGTCCCTTCTCCGCAGAGAGTCGAGTGCCTCGCTCTCCGGTGATGAGGAAAACAAGGCCGAATCTTGTGTTCCTCAGCGAGGACCTCTGAGAGGAACCTTCATTGCTGATCCACACAAACCAGTTGCTGTCGTTGCTCCCAACGGCAGACAGCTAATTCTTATACCTCCATATGCATCTTCCCGCCATGAGTGGCTCGAATCAGCTGCCGGTAGCCTGGTTAACACCGCCAACAACTCGCCTCGTACTAGTACGATGCACAATGTCGACGACAGTGATACCGATGCATTGGTATCGCCCCGTCACACCGACATGAGCCCTATGTTAAGCTCCAATGCCAACCTTATGATGAGTGCACTGGGAAATGACTCAGTAGGCCAGGTCACGGGCCCACCGGAGGCATTCTACCCTACCAACGGCTACTTGATGGATGCTAGTTTCGATGAAGACGAAGACGACAGCGAAGCCATGCTTAACGTCGATGACTTCATCAACTTTAGCGACGATTCGTCTGACGATGAAAGGGATGACTCGGATGAGCCAACTTCCCCAGCTGCTACATCTACTATTGGTTGTCAAACACCAACACCCCGACGTCCTTCTGGTACTGCAACAGACAACGACGAGACCCCTACCCAGGCCAGCAGTGCTGAACGACTTCTCAACCACCTTGATCGCGGCATTGTTACTGCCTTCCGCCGCAATCATAATAGATATCAGGCACTGATCCGTCTCCCCCATCACAGGGAGTTTTTACCTGCAAACTCTCCATCTCAGCCTGCTAGTGCCTTCAAACGCTCGAATCCTCGCACTCCAACCAGAAAGAGACAGGCAAGCACATACCTTGGCAGCGAGGCTGTTCGGAGAAAGCTGGTAGACTCACACCGCAGCAGAAGAAACACTGTTGCTTATTGAAAGGGAATCATATGTATCCGGAATGACACAATTGAAGTCGGTCTACAGTAGAAACCGATAAACACGGCAATGGATCACCAACTCTCCCCTCTTGCCCGCTATATTACTAGCTACGCAGGCGCAGGCGCAGGCACACAGAGACGCGCTACAGTAGCGCCATACTATACGTGTCTTACTCATCTATCTAATGTGCTGTCAGTGTCAGAATTGATGTTTTCGATGTTTATTTGAATAACTTTTTTTTATTGTCTCCCTCCAACTTCTGCTTCAGTTCTTTTCAGTCATATCACACTACATGATCACTGACTGATCTTCTCGCGAAAAAAAAAACTCCCCTTCTCTTTTCTACTGTTTGCATAGTGATCGATATACCTGCCTGAATGCTGGGAAGAACCAAAGCACATATCAACGGTATAAACGAACACCATAATAATATTGCCACCCTCTGTTTTCTGTTGCCTTCGAACTATATGATTATGTCGCGGTTGTTGATACTCGCATGTGCAATTGTGTTACTTATACTCCATTGACGAATATTGCCTGTCTAGTGTTTTGTGATAAGTGTTTACGTGTCGAGCACCTCGAGTGTCGCCGACTAATTGAACAATAGGAAATAAAACAAGGAACGAAGAAAATAAAAATAAAACAAAAAAGGGCAATCGGACACGCGCCATGAAGGAGCCAACTGGAAGGAAATTATATATCATGCTGGCATCCCAAAAAGAAGTACATTCCAACTTGATTTACTGTTTTTGATGATGATAAAAGTTATATGACGTCAAATTCTTGCTTATCGTTTGTCACTCTTCTCTTCTTTGACCTCCAGTCGTTTGATCCTGTTTGAGGACATCTCATTTGTTGTTTTATGATTATTCTAATAGCCACACGTTTCTTATCCAGACTCATGGCTTGCCGTAGTTTGCCTTGCTTACCTCCTTTCTTGTTCCCATTATTCCGGCTCCGCGCGGCTGATATCATGTCATAGTGCTTGACATGTGTAAAGCTTTGATTGCTGAGCGAGAGGATCTTGTCAACTTCCCTGTCATCTTGTCCATACATAGATAGCAAAGGGTTTGTAGAAGGCGTCCCTGGTGTCGAGAACCCCCATATCACGATCTCGTTCCACATCTCCTTTTGTCCTTCCCCTGACCTGCTACCTAAACATCTTCACGTAACAACCCACAGACGGTCAGAACTCGGATATAGCAGGAAAAGAAACAGGAAGAGCAGAACAGCCTGACTTGGCCTCTTGGTCTCGTCAATGTCCTCGCTATCCAAGCTTATGCGCAGCCGGCATGTGCTCTCGATCAGAACATATCGTGATCGAAAACACACCCCTGGCCCTTTTGACCGAAGCGCGAGCTTAGACGGCCAACAACTGTAGTTCGTCAGCAAGGGGCAAAAAGCCTCTCAGACGGATACGAGAATGGGAATTGCCTTTAAAAGGTGGTGTGGTTTATTTACCTCAATCGATCGACAGTTCGCTCGACGATGAAGATGGAAGATGATACATACTACGTACTCGCACATGCCGCATAGTTATCGGAGATCCGGAGAGAGTGTAAGGCAAGTATGGGCTGATGAAGCACTGGCCTCGCTCTCAGCGTTCCTTTCAGACAAGATACTTCGTCACGAGAGGGCACAGTTTGTCTGAAACCCCCCTCCCCGGTGTGAAGCCATCACTGCATATGGAGTACTCCGTGGGCAAGCAGAGAGGGTTAACTTTCTAGCTAGCCAAGCAGTTAACGGGTGAGCCAGTACGGAGTAGAGCAATGTTCCTTCGGCTCCTCGAACGCCTTACTAGCCCGTGTCCATGGTTTGTCTTTTTGGGGGCTATCGTTTGGACCAGGAGGTGATCAGATAGATATGCAGGGTCGTATATGTAGAATAGCCCTCCATGATGCGATTTGAGTTAACAGGGGAATCTGTCCTTGGATTTGAATCTGAAGAGGCATGCATGCTACCCCCTGCAATTTATTTGCTGCGAGTGCCGCGATTTTGTGTAGTTAACTGGCTAGTCGGCTAGTCAGGGGCAAGCTAACGACTGTTTAGAATCTGTGGATCGTTCCATCGCAGTGGAAAGCTAGGACGGTTGTTTCTGCGGAACCAAGACAGCCTGTCCTTGTACTGATCACGGTTCAAAACTCCGGCGACGGGGGCCACAAGGTCGGGAGAAACGCTTGGTATGGTATCTCAGGCGCTCTTGATATCGTGGACTGTGGGCTAAGAAGGTAGTTTTGCGCAACTACTCCGTACAATCCCTAGCAATTAAACCGCCGGCAAGAGGGGGGAATCACTCCAGATATCCCCTCGCCCTAACGGCCTTAAGGGCATCGTCTACCCAGTTCTGACAAGCATAACGGGACTCGTTGGAGTCAATATTTACCGCACCATCATACTGTTCGGGAGAAGAATTAATACGTACTCCGTAGAAGCGCACACATCCTTGAAGTCAAAGTAACTCAGTATTCCCATAGTGCCAGAGAGCTCTTTTTACCCTGGAACGAAACCGTCTAATCTGGCTTTTCCTCATCCTCCTCCCTAGTCTCAGATGAAAGCTCGTTGAGAGCGTTCCGCAGACATGTCTTCTTAGGCTCGGCCATTGGCTTGGTTGATTCCAAAAAAGCGGACGTGGTGGATGCATGAGTCGTAAGCAACTCGGTATATACCCTGCAGGGTGGCTTCATGGGACTTGATCTATCGTTTTTAGCCGGGTGAGGGGTGAGAAGGCGAAGAATATAGAGTTTTATATACGAGATATCCTTTATCGATTTGAGGGCTGGGTAGAAAACCTGGGGAGTGCACAAGGCCTTGCGTTTGCTAGTAGTGGATTGTACGTAGCCAACGTACAGGTATGGACAGTAAGTAGTACTCCCTCTGGCCCTAGTGAGTGTTATCCCTGAGTGAGTCGATATTCCCGCTAGTTCCTGCAGTCATCTGAAAACGGCGTAGCAAGACTACAGCATAGAGCTTTACTAGGTAGTTAATTAGTTGATTGGAGAAGGACATCTGTTTGATGCTGTTGTCCCCGGTTATGCTTTCATATACGTGGCTTGTATACATAGTTTAGCCGCTTCACTGACGACAGCAATGGTTAGGTTATTGCTAGTTATCGTTTTCAGAAGAGGCGGATTCGATCAATTCAAATATAGTAGTGGAAACTTCTTTGAATCCTTCCTAAGTATACAACCAGGGCCCCGAGGACGTTGATTTCCAGATGAAATGGGGGGAATCTCAATCTCTCCCTATGTCTTCCGAGTCTTCCTGTTGATCGGGGGTATAAACTTCCACGCCATTGATGCTGGAAAATCGTTGGTCAAATAAGAATAGTGGCCTTTTTCAGGAAGAATACAGATATCAAATGGACTTATGCGCGTATGGCCCTCAAAATTTCATTAAATGCCATGGTTTTTAATAGAGCCACAGAAGATTGCTGATTTGGACACGTAGATATACTGTTCATGTAGTTAGCTGCCGCCTCTGTATGTAAATGTAGAAGGTTAGTAAACTCCTCACGCCCGCAGTATACTCTAGCCAATGTGTCAATTAAATAGTAATAGCTTGACTTAATAGAACTAAAAAACGTGTGATATTTTGTCTCAGGGGTATACAAGTCAGTAAATGCATTGAGTGAGAAATTATCAGGCGGCCACTTGCTTGGGCATATAAACCAATTCAACATCCTAACCAACATTCTACTTGGATAATAAATTGCTGGGTGGTTAAATACGATATTTCCTTGTTCGGGTAGTAGTGAATGAGACCAAACATTTATTAGTATCGGTCAAGGTATCTTTCGTATCGAGTAACAATGGGAAGCTGGTGCTTGAATGAACGACACGGTCTTTCACGGCGTGGCTGTTGATTTCAATCAGGTCGGTTAAAGTTCGTCAAAGCTCAGCCTTGCAATGCGGCTCTTCCAACGGACACCACGCGGAGGATTGTCACTTGCTGACTATCAGACACAATAACTACCTCTAATACCCAGATATCTAATAGCTATTCTAGATACAGTTCTGAATGCGAGATATCTGATCAGCCTATATTGATGGAGACGCTTGTTGATATTCAATGTACGGCGCCAGATCTCCCTGGCCCTCTTGCTACCCAAGCTATGCCCCCCTTCTTTCCCAGCCTACAGATGCGAAAATTGTCTATATAGACGATAAATACGCAGTTAAATATGGCTCGCCTGTGCAGTTTTCCTTTTCCAGGGGCCAAATTACCATTTTTATGAGGATGGTCACCGACACCTGGGTTCCATACATGAAGCTGAAATTTAGGACGCTGACTCCAGAATTGAAATGAACTATATGGTCGTGGAATGAATCGACGGTCAAACACCGAAGACATATTGGGACACCCTCATCACCGACGAAAAGGAGGATATCAGGGCAACGCCCAAGGACTAGCTACTTCATAGAACTACGTTCTTTGCCATCTCCAAGATACTACAGCTTTCTCGGACGTCAGCCTTCCCGGACCATGATGTTCGACAAGCGTGGAGCCAAATCCAGCGATCAACGGACCGGTCGAGATCGAAGAGGACTTGAATGAGGCAACGATTCTTAGTTACGCCGCTCGCAGGCGGAAAGAGAGAGCTGCATTCACGAGACAAGTCTGCATTCACACAAGCAGACCTACAATGCGACAATATCATTGTCAAGAAGAAGTTCATGATCCAAGCAGGAAAGGCTGGAAATATGAGGTTACTTTGATTGACTAGGAAGAGGCTGGATGGTACCTGGGCTACCAGGAATATACTCTCGCCGCACATGCATCGGATTGGAAGAATGAATGGCCAAACTGGCTACCGAAACTGATGGATCCATACGACCTTTGAGTTTGCGTGGATTGACAGAATATGTACATGTCGTATTAACTAATTACGTCGGCCTCTTTCCTCTCTTCTCGCTCCTCTCCATGATCCCAATCATAATTACTCCTGTCTTTCGAAAGGTTGGGATCTCCAGGAATAACAACGATACTAAGTACTCGGAAGAGCACAGTATTACGTGTCTCGAGTACTCCGTAGCCCTCGCGTTGCCTCGTCTCACCCTGAACAGCCGGGACTCCATAGCGGTCTGGCCTGATTGGTAGCTTCGCCTTTCGCTAGAGGAGACCATGACATCAAGTGTTATGTTGGAAGGTGCCGAAAGCCGAACAATTCCAAGGCAGCGAGAGGGTGTCTTGCAGGAATGCCCACTCTGCAGCCCCTTTATTTAACCGATGCTACCTGTTTCATCTCTTCAAAGCATTTTCTGTTTGGTGAGAAAGGGATTTTTTTCTTCCTGCTTGTTATAGAGTAGCTACAAAGGAGTGAGGAACCTGAACAACGGAAAGCCGAGCCCCTTTTAAAGACCGATTGGAAGACGCTGCTGCGACATTAACTGCAGCCCCTGGGCCTTCTAAGTACACTACTCGGGGCTAAGTCTGCAGCCGTTATGTACGGAGTATATGCACTCTTTATGCATGATCTGGTTGTGGATCACATGTGCGGAGGCATCTTATGTTCTAAGTACACCGGTAGTCCATGGGACTGGACTATAATTTACTGCGGATGCAGTAGCGTTTGGAAGAAGCAGGGCACTATGAAATCCATTCATTCGATGGAATAGGTATGACAGACCGTCTATTTATATGCGGGTATAAGTGCAATGTAATAAGTAATAAATCGGTCGTCGGTCAAGTATAAGGGGCTATTTTGCACTATAGGAATGGCGGGTCTGCTGGTGAGACCTATTCCAGGGGAGCTCGGGGACTCCGGAAAAGCAAGAAACCTAGGCAATACTGCATATTTATGGAAGATATGTGCTGAAGTCTAGTCTACTTCGAAGAGCGAGAGGCGTCCCTTCTTAACTTTGAGACCCAACAAGATATTATTTCGGAATACAAAGAGACACTGAAGTAGGATGTTCTTTCGGCTTGGGTCAAAGTGTTATCATTCGACAGCCAAGGTGTCGAATCAAAGCGACCTTGAGTTACCCCTGCCAAGTAAACGTTGCGGGTAAAGTCTCCTGTGAGACCTTTTCCGCCAGGCACCATAAGCCTCCTCCTCCACACGAAGATGGACCGGGTTGAAAGAAGGGGAGGTATAAACTGTCTAATATACCCTGGCCAGGTAGGGATGTATTTGGCTCAAGCATCCGGAATGCTACAGCCTGCAGCCCCCCCCCCCTGAGGTTTGAACAAACTATCTCGGAAGACCCCGTACCTGAATCAATATTTACGCCAGCAGACTGGTCTCTTCACTGGTAAAAGCTATCCATACAACTCGCGTACTTCTGACAAGTAGAGTAGAGTGAAAAAATTGTCGTGACCATTGTTGGGTGGCTGTGTAGTTAGTTGAAACGCGCTTTTCCAGCACGGGGAAACTCCGCCCGAAGAGGGGTGCAGGTGCTTGGTGCCTTTTCCTAGGAATGCTCGGTAGATGGGAAAGTCTTTTCTGGCAGTCTGGGCTTGTGTTGAAGGTTTCTGCTGAGAACCACCGCTGGGCCGGGGGTTCCATTGATCTACCCAGAGTCAAGGACCAGGGAGAGAAGAAGTTTCAGGAACGACCTAATAGGGCGTCTTTTTCTCCCCTCCCTCAGGCATTCCAAGGCCCAGAGATTTTCTTCCCTGCTGTGGCTCAAACGCCGAGCTGGGAACCTTGGAAAATCCACTCTTCCGGCATGGTTTATTGTGCACAAGAAAAGGTGTTTTCCGCTGCGGTGGAGAGGATGTGAGCTCCTGTCAGGATACGAGATCCTAACGACCGATCGCAAAGTGTGGCGAGTATTCTCCGTGAGCTAGCCATGTCGGTACGACATCAGTGCTCCCTTTTGCCATTCGTCCCTGTCTTCTCAGTTACCCTTCAGACAAAAGCCATTTCCGGGACGTCATCGTCAGGAGTATATCCGCAGGTAGAATATGGATGATTTAGACAGGTGTCTGTTGTAGGCGTTACGCTGAAAGACAGCATGCGAAGTAGCCGTCGTACAGCGTGGCAATGGAGTATGTACATATGCCAACATTCCCTTCTCCTGGCTCTCTCCTCTTTGCAGTTTCACATTGAGACCTGCTAAGAATCAAGCTTCGCTAGGTGGAGAAGCGATGGCCGGCGCGCTAACTAACAAGGGGCGGGCCATGCAGAATGGAGCACTGTTGCCTGTGAGATTCCGCGAGAGCACAGTAGCAGCCAGATTCACGCCCGCCAGCCAGCAGTGGAGGTAAGTGCAGTCAATTCGACCTGTACCGGCCCCCAGTTCCAGTTCCAGTTCCCGTTCCAGTTCAGAGCCAATGTCAGGTGCTAGCTGGAGCAAACCTGGGCAAAAAATAGAAACCGTGTGCGGAGCGGGCAATCGACTTGTGCGCCCGTGATGTGCGCCAGGCATCTCCTCGCCGCTGGATCGCCCGTCTGCAGCTCCCGCTCGACAGCGACAAGCCCCGTGTGACTGGTCCAGCTGCGTCGTGGATGAGCGGCTAGCGGTGACTTTGATATACTCGAGGCTGCGCGGCGAATTTGCAGGCGGCGGAAGTCGCTGGATGTACCTGCTGAGTCAGCATCCCTTTTTGGGAACTTCCAACGTCTGCTCTTCAACGGCAATAAAGAACAACAATAACAACAACGTCGGCAGCGGCGGCGACACCAACAGCTGCTACTGCAGACGCTATGGAGGACGCAGAGACAGGACCGGCGGGAGGCTGCAGGGGACGACAACATGGCGCTGCAGACAGGATGCGTCGCAGATGCGTTGGGCGAGGTCGGGGCTGGCGGTTTCGAAAACGGCCTCTGCAGAGTTCGGGGGGCCTCGCATTGCCGGTTGAGCCAGTAGCATAACTCGCGGCGGCATTTAGCCTCGGTGACTTGTCTGTGTGGATGTGCAAATATGCTAAATTTAGCCGGACGAGGAGCTCTGGAAGCGGAAAAACAAGGAGGGGAGGGGGAGAAAGAAGATTGCCCCTAGGCAGCCCTGCGCATTAGCCATATGCAATGAATGGACGCTGATGCAAGCAACAATAATCCACTCTCTCAAACCAGCAGAATTGCCCCCTTGCTTCTAGATTGTAATATGACCGCCGGCGGTTATTGAGATATGGCGAGCTCGCTGCTCTGCTTGGAGGATGGTCTGCTCTTTGCTTTTGCCGTGAATCTGCTTGGCAATGGCCCAAAACACCCCGGCGCTTCACCCCGTTATGGGATAGGGCAAGGTCATGCCATAGTTACTCCATCCACACGCTATTTGCAATCCGGACTGATGCAAGCTTCTCGCTTCCCCTGTCGGTTCTGCCCACCCTGGCGCGAACTTTGGGCTCCAGCGCTACACAGTACAGCGCTCCATATCAACTATACCCATGATGATACTCATACTACACTTTCAGCCGGGCAGCGCGAAACAAACCATTGACCTCGAGGAAGCACCTGTGGAGAAACTTGCGTTCCCTTTTTTCCTTAGCCGTGGCAACCCCCGTCAGCGCAGGCACCCCCATAGGCGGGCGGCGCTCTTTCAACGCAAAACGGAAGGGCGGGAAAATAACATGTCTTCACGCTTGGTATACCCGGACTGGTGGGATATTAAATGACCCTCAAAGCCCCCTCAATTCTCCTTGATCTTTTGGTCACTTCTCTCCATCATCTTTTCCTCTTCCCCCCCTCCCCCCCATTCCCCTTTTATACTCTCTTTTCTCTTCCCTCGTTTATTTAAGGCTCTTTATCTCTTTACTCAAGAGATAATAGCTACTTATTACTCTAATCTTAATATCGCTGGCTCGAATTACATTAGTGCCGCCCCTCGTTTAACCATTTCCCATACGGACACAATCTTTTACTACATCTGGTTCACACAGTCGCTACTCAATTATCTCGTTCTTCAATATGAAGGCCTCTATCGGAGCCTTAGCGCTCCTGTTGGCCCAGCAGGCCAGCGCTGCCTACATCCCTAGCGGTAGTGCCAAGGGAAGCACCTTAGTCCGCCGTGACTGGGGTGGTTTGGACGGAAGTCAATTCGTTGACCCCGGGAACCAACCATCCTGCCCGGAATGCGGTGGTGATGGTGGTGAACCTCAGTGCCCCGATGGCAACTGCGGTGGTGGTGAACCTCAGTGCCCTAATGGCAACTGCGGAGGAGGCATTGGCGGAAACATTGGAGGAGGCATCGGAGGTGGCATTGGAGGCGGTATCGGAGGCGGTATCGGAGGCGGTATTGGAGGAGGCATCGGAGGAGGCATCGGAGGAGGCATCGGAGGAGGAGGCGGTGACGTAAGTTCTTCACTCAGAAGGCGTTAACCTGGCAGATAGCTAACATTGTTAATAGTGCTGGGGTGGAGATGATGGATTACCTCCTCCCTGTTACCCTGTTCCAGGCAACACACCTCCAGATTGTACACCCGAACAGGAAAATGGCTTTGACTTTATTGATCTCATTGAAGGTGCTATAAACTTCTTCGGCGGCTGTGACTTCTCTGGCTTCACCTGCGTGGATGGGATTGTCAAGGGGGCTCTGGAAGTCGGTGGGAAGGTCATCACTGCTTTGCTCAGAGCAGGTGGAGACAACATCCCCACCATCTCTAAGTCCAATGGTGGATTGGCCATTGTTTCTATCGAGGCCTATGCTGAGGTTGACGTCGATATTGTTCTCGTTTTTACCATGCCTGATGGCTCTATATGCCGACAGTTTGCAAGCTGCTCGCCTGCCGGTCAGACCATCATGAACGAACAGTGTGGTGGTGCTACTAGCGTTGGATTCCATCTCGCAGTCCACAGCAAAGTCAGTGTCTGCGCAGTTGTTATCAAGAAGATTAATTTCGGCTGTGAGCCACCAACCATCCCAACATGGCCATTCCCACCACTTCCATTCCCAACTACCAGCCTACCGCCACCAGAGACGTCAGGTGGATACACAACCATTCCAGGTACCAGCGAGAGCGGTAGTTGGTCTTCAATGCCATCTTCATACAGCATGCCAACTTCTGGATACACGACCGTTCCAGGCACCAGCTCACCCCACAGTACCCCCAGCGGCGGTTTCCCAACTAGCAGTGGAGGTATCCCCGGCCAAACTACTGTTCCAACTTCTCCTGCTCCTACCACCTGGACCTCTCAGTCCATTTCCACCATTTACACTACTTCTACCATGACCATCACCAGCTGCCCGCCAGAAGTTCCCGACTGCCCAACTGGCTCCACTACAGTTATTACATCTACGATTCCTGTAACCACAACTGTCTGCCCTATCACCATGACCTCCGCAATTCCTGGACAGCCAGGACAACCCGGACAGCCAGGTCAGCCAGGTCAGCCAGGACAGCCCGGTCAGCCTGGACAGCCTGGACAGCCAGGTCAGCCAGGACAGCCAGGACAGCCAGGTCAGCCTGGACAGCCAGGACAGCCAGGACAGCCAGGACAGCCAGGTCAGCCTGGACAGCCAGGACAACCAGGTCAGCCTGGACAGCCAGGTCAGCCTGGACAGCCAGGTCAGCCAGGACAGCCAGGACAGCCAGGACAGCCAGGACAGCCAGGACAGCCAGGACAGCCAGGTCAGCCTGGACAGCCAGGTCAACCCGGACAGCCAGGTCAGCCTGGACAGCCAGGTCAACCCGGACAGCCAGGTCAGCCAGGACAGCCTGGACAACCAGGTCAGCCAGGTCAGCCTGGACAGCCAGGACAGCCAGGTCAACCAGGTCAGCCTGGACAGCCAGGTCAGCCTGGACAGCCAGGACAACCAGGTCAGCCTGGACAGCCAGGTCAGCCTGGACAGCCAGGTCAGCCTGGACAGCCAGGACAGCCAGGACAGCCAGGACAGCCAGGACAGCCTGGACAGCCAGGTCAACCCGGACAGCCAGGTCAGCCTGGACAGCCAGGTCAACCCGGACAGCCAGGTCAGCCAGGACAGCCAGGTCAGCCTGGACAGCCAGGACAGCCAGGACAGCCAGGACAGCCAGGTCAGCCTGGACAGCCAGGACAACCAGGTCAGCCTGGACAGCCAGGTCAGCCTGGACAGCCAGGTCAGCCTGGACAGCCAGGACAGCCAGGACAGCCAGGACAGCCAGGTCAGCCTGGACAGCCAGGTCAACCCGGACAGCCAGGTCAGCCTGGACAGCCAGGTCAACCCGGACAGCCAGGTCAGCCAGGACAGCCTGGACAACCAGGTCAGCCAGGTCAGCCTGGACAGCCAGGACAGCCAGGTCAACCAGGTCAGCCAGGTCAGCCTGGACAACCCGGACAGCCAGGTCAGCCAGGACAACCCGGTCAGCCAGGACAGCCTGGACAGCCAGGTCAACCAGGTCAGCCAGGACAGCCAATGCCTTATCCACCAGTCGTTCCCAGATGTATGATGACCTGGTTCACCATCCCCAAGTGCGATTCCAACAGCCATATCACCTGTCTCTGCCCGTCTTCAGAATTCGCCCATAAGGTTATCGAGTGTATCCGCGCTTGGTCAGATGATGAAAAGGAGACCCAGGCCGCACTTTCCTTCTTCCTAGGTATCTGCGTCACTTACATTCCTAAGAATCCTGGCCTCACCGACAACCTCCCACCCGGCATCCCTATCGCCCCAACTTCCGCTCCAAATGGCCCAGCTCCTCCAGCGGTCACCGTTATAATCACACCTACTGCGACTGGAAACCACACTGTTCCCCCCACGACGATCGTCATTCCCACGGTTAGCTTCACCACTCCTACATCTGGTGCTTCTCACCAAGCCCCTTACCCTGTTCCTGCCGCTCCCACATCGGACGGCGGTTCGGCACCAACCCCGGCTCCTGGCGGTGTTCCTGCTCCTACCCCACCATACGGCAGCACTGGCTTCATGACCGTCTCTCCTACAGGTGGTGTTCCACACCCAACATCTACCACCGAGCCCTACATCGGTGCTGCTTCTAGCGTTGAGGCCTTCCTGTCTCAATGGGTCATGATGGGCATTACTGCTATGGTCGGTCTAATCCAGTTCGCTCTCTAGATTACCTAACATTTAGAAGTGAACAATTGCCTGGCAAAGCTTGCCAATCTCTTATATGTTTATTATTTGTCATGTCTTTGTCGATGTCTTGTTTTCTTTTTAGGTCTAGCTAGACCGTTAATAGTTCTCCCGTCTTACTAGACATCTCAAAATAACATTCCTTTTATATTTTTTGTGTTTTGAGTATTCTTTGGTTTTTGATCTTATTATTTTGAAGAATGTTTCTACAGGGGAATGGGTGGTTTTAAATATCCAGCTCTTAATGTGCTTTTATTGAGGTTTGTGTTATAGACAACATAGTAATGCAGTTTGAGTTGACCATATATCTATAGCATCTCACCAGTGGCTGCAAGCACTGATCCATTTATCCATTATTATATCCTGCAAAAACGTTATTATCCCAGTAAGTCCATATTAATAGTGCTGTAAATCAGAGCTTTCTGTGCCACTAGCGTAACCCTAACCGTTTCTCGTACTACGTAGTTCTCGAACGATATCTCCCGACACAAAGATGCAAGTAGCTTAGCTACAAGCCATGCCCTCAGTATGCGAGGCCGCGTCAGGTCGCCCCTCAGCCTAGTGGTATCTCAGTATTGTCTAACGTTGCGGACTTATCTTCTCCCTGCTGTCTTCTGTTGATGTTGACGTTGATTGATAGATCAGGAAGCTTTTTATATTATGCAGCTTAGTCATATTTAGTTGATACGTTACCACGTGACACTGCCGCCGCAACGTCAACACAGGAAGTCAAGCAGAATTATAGGCTCATATTCAAAACAGTATACAAAGACTACGTTGACAAGCAAGAAGATAGATGTGTGGTTTGGCCGCAGGGAAGAAGCGCCTAGCCGAAGACAAACACTCGAGTCTCAATGCTCTCACGGGGCTTTGCGCCAGCCGGGGTCCGGGGGTCAGCAAAGGAAGCATGGGCTGTCCGCCTGGCTACTGCGTCCTCCTTACTGTCCATGATCATGAAGGCTAGTCTATCCTCGTTGGTCATGCCAGACCAATAATACCATTTGTGGGCTGGGCTGTACTTCAGCATCTGCGTCTCGCTCTTATGCCGGGGATACCGCAGCTCGATGCGCACCAGGTCATCATCCGGGACCGATGACGGCATAGCGACGGCGAGTGGGTATGACTGAACCGTACCGTTTATCGGTCTCCAGATGTTGAGCACCCGGTATCGGTCCTTGAGAAGCTCTGCTACTTCCTCAGGCGGGAAGAAGAGGCCTATCGCTTCCTTCGTTGATGTGAGGGTTTGATCGATGTGGGCGCTGATTAGCGGGGAGTGTTCCGCGCCAGGCTGAGAGCGGCGGACAATGTGGTTGAAGATAAATATGCGTTTGGCCTCGGGGAATAGCTCGCCGACGAATTCCTCGACTTCTGGATACCAGACTGACTTGATGTTTTCCTCGTCACAGAACGACGGATCCGCGGCCGAGGGCACGTTCGATACGCCCTGGAAGCCATGTTTTGCAAGCGAGTATTCAGACTCTTTACCGCGGATGTCGGTTATGGAGATGGTGCGTGTTCTTAGAGGGTAGTTGGGCTGTGTTCCGCCCTTGAGATGGCCCTCCATGAGATTATATGGCTCCGATCCATCTTCAGGATACTCGAAAAACTGCATCGGGGCTTCTACATCGCCTCGGGGTATGTGGTTGACATCGTTTTCGAGGATGACTTGGGGGTCAGATGTGGTCGTGGTAGCAGTAGCCGACATGATCAATTGCCTAGATAAGCAGGGGTCAAGACAGAGGAGAGTGCGAGAATGGACCGGGGCCTGATGTACAATTGGTTGCAGAGGAAACTCGAAGGATGTGAGTGTGTGAAAAGGAGGGAGATATTTGGCCTACATATTATATAAATAGGTAGGTGCTTCTCCTTTGCTACCCCCCGTACACCTACTTCCCCATGCAGGCCACCTTGCAAGCTGCATTCAGAAGCATCCGTACGCCTCGCATGCGCATATGCCAAGGAGCGACTTAACAAAAGCGAGCCGTCATTCGAAGGCAAAGGAAATATTAAAGAAGCATTCCGAGCTAGTCGTAGTGACTGCTAGAGCATCGACGCCGCTTAGGGCTTGCGCCTCAACCAAGGCCCCTCCTAGCTTGCGGAACCAAGAGCTGAAGCCAACTACACAATATATATCGAGCCTGATAACCTTGTAGCCGGGACCGGCAAATGTATCCCCCCTGGGCCTTAGGTGTCGCTGATAACTACTACCTGCCCCGCGCCGGATACAGGGACCGGCGTACAGAGTGCGCAGGAAACTCGCTCGCTCGCTCTACCAGGGTTCGTGCAGAACCATCCTCACGGCGGGCATGGGCATGAGGAAGAGAAAGAAGGATCGGAAGAAGGCATTGACCCGAGAAACAACAAAGAATGTGCTTGATTGATTCATGCAGGGTATTACGTCAAAAGGTATACAAAGTCCCATCACCTAAACAAAATGCTCGCGCAACGCCAGCTCTGGAACGGCTAAAGCCACAGCGATCGGTTCCATATTCAACGACAAACAATCGCCCATTGTGTGATCTTCCTCCTGTGTCGCATGGCATGGCATCCACCCCACGTACAGCATGCAGATGTAGCCAATGATCTACCCAACTGTGCCCTTGTGTATGCCCATCATCAAAGGCAAAAAAAGAAAAAAGTGAGCAAAGGCGACAGAAGTCGAAATGGAGAATAATAGCAAAAACAAGGAGATTTCCGCCTGTGGTGAGATTTGTATGTGCAACGCCTATAACACTTGAGCTGTGTCCGCCGGCCCATAAAGAAAGAAAGGTAAAAAAGGGGGTGGGTGGCGGGAGGGAGAACAAAGAAAGGAAGAAGAAAGCTCCCTGGTATATCCTCGCCATATTCGATCGTGAAGTACTCCGTTAGCCATAGGGGAAAAAAAAGCAAAAAAATCACGATTTCCGAGGATTTGCCCGGACTAGATGAACGTCCATGGTTGGAGGGAAATCGGGGTGCAAAGAACCAACTTTCGGTGGATTGTTGTTGTTGCGAGCAGGAGGCTGCTCGTCATCCGAGCCCATGAGAGTGGTCAATAGGCTATTGACTAAACGAGTATCTATCCAACCCGGTGGCTTTGTGTTCCTCAGTCGTTCGATACGTGCAAGGTCGTCTTCAATCTCCTCCGGCATCAGAGCGGGTGGAGTTGGTGCGCTTGATGATCCATTTGGTCGCTGATGATAGCTACCCAGGATGTAGTAGGGAAGATTTGTGCGAGTAGAGTTCTTTTCCGTTAATTCTCCGAGAAGGTTCAAGGCACCTGTGCCATTAGTGCGGGTGGAACGAGTCGCGTGGACGTTCTGGCTCGCCGAGCGCTCCATATCGGCTGCTCCAGGCGTGGCGTCTTCCTGGCTGCTTGCATCGCCGGAACCAGATGCCTCGTCCTTGTCTACAGACTGTCCGTTTGCGTTCTGGTTCGCTTGTTTGGCACGCTTGGAAGCAGAGAGGAAGTGGACCGCAGCGACGTGGGCGGCATTGCTGTGCATGGCCAATTCTTTCTCGGTGAACAAAGATAGGATATTGTACGCCGGTGCATTCTGCTGCTGGGACATTCTCGACTTGGCTCGGTCTGCGGGGGTCGACAGGCCGTCATGATTTGGAGACGCGCTGAACTCTTCGTCTATCGCCTTGCGCTTGCGTTTATTGATCGGTTCGCTCATGATGCCGCCTCCGATGTCGTCGGCGTCAAGTCTATGTCGTGTGTGTCTTGTTTTTCGATTGCCCTGGATCCCACCAGGACTGCCGGGGTTAGCTATGCTGAACTGGTTAGGGTGGAGAAGCAACGCGTTGGTGTCAGCAACATCCAACTGTTCTTTCTCTCGCATAAGCCGGTTTTTTCGGTGGGAAACTGATTGGACAAGTCGTTCACGGATGGTTTCTGTGAGCCGCTTGTACTCTTCGGCAGCGAGCTGGATTCGAAAATCTCGTTCTTGTTTGATGCGGTTCAAAGAGTCACGATGTCGGTTCTATAAGACATCAGAAAATGGAAAACCTCTTTTTATAAAACACCCAGTCAAAGAAAGGAAAAGAACTTTCCAGTCACAAAAAGTGCCGGAACTTACCATCATAACAGCCAACTCTGCATCTCTCTCCTCCTTACTCCGATTTATCTCCTGAACGAAGTTCGAATACCATCTCCCGGAGATTGGAGTGTCAGATGTTATCTGCCCACTGGCAGCTAACTGTGTCAATTGCTTTGCAACATCTTCTGGAGAGTCACTGATGGGCCAGTCCTCATAGACCTGTGCATTTGAGATCAACGCCATCTCATTCTGAAGCTCATGCACTCGCTGCCGGAAATGATAGTCTCTGTTATTCCCGAAGGCCTCCTTCAGCTCGTTCACTCGGTCTTGGAGGGCATTGCGTCGCTTATCTCGCTTGGAAAGTGGGAATTGGCCTGGAGGTGGGGTGTCGATGTAACGAGCTGTCGAAGGCCCAGTAGCTGCCGAGGGAGATGCTGGAGCAGCTGCAGGGTAGGCCATTGCGCGGATGTTGTCTGTTATTCCACCAGATGAGTAGAGCGCTTCTTCCCCGAGCAAGTCGAGTCAGTCGTCAACGTCACGGAGGCGAGAAGGCTGGGCTATTGGGACAACTTTGAATATTAGCACCCATCCTCAGCCGAGTCAAGCACAGCCAGCACGTTATAGAACGAAAACAGCAGAACAGAATATCTGGGCGAAAGGAAAGGTGAAAGGAGAACCACACCTGTTTAGATCGATCCAGCCAACACAGGAAGCAAGGGAGAAAAAAAAAAAAAAAAAAATCTTTTCAAGGTAGCGAGAATAGCCTAGGTAGCAGGGAGGAGGAATATCGCTCTCTTGCTAGGACTGCCTATATTCTCAGGCTTCCAACTAGCTATCTGACCACGCTGCAAGACGATGCTAGATTGCAGGTCTGCGGCAGATGATGTAGCGTGTAAGCGCGGCAGCTGGCAGACCCCCCTCTGGAGGTCTGTATCTTTGCAATACAGCAACAGCTGCGGGTAATGCAAGTATAGAAGGATGTACAATCAAGATATCAACGCTGGGAGGAGGACGTAGGGATTTACGATGCCGGGAGGCCGAATGGAGGGCGGAAGCAGAGAGAGGCGCCAATTGGGGGTGTTTTGGCTTGGGGCTACGGGCGGCAGGAGTAGGAGTGCAGTGGAACTGAAGGCAGTGAATCAGAAGCCACAGGAGGTGACGGAGGACTCTGTAGAGCAGGATTCCGGGCTCGGTGAAGTGCGACACATCGTCTGGCGCCGGCGGCTTGCTGTCGTCGTCGGCGTCAGGACAAGCAAAGTTGGAGTCGCTTTTTCTTCCTCTGTGCTGATGTCAGCAGCCCGGCGGCCACAGATGTCACGGGTCCCGGATAAAAGTGATGCCATTAGCCGCCATCACGTGGAGCGGCTCCCATAGAAGGATGGATCCTTCCAATACATCCAGTATTCAATTGCATTCACAGGAAGACAATAGAGAAGGACTGAAACGGTGGAGGAGCTGAGGTTGGTGCAGGCTGCTGGTCTGTAAGTGGAAGATATATGTTCTTGACTAAGTGGATGGCTAGATGGTATACTTTGATTATCATGGAAGATAGTTATCTGTTTAGCTAGTCTAAGAAGTTCCAGCATTTCTCGTCCATCAGGTACTCAATAAGGCTACTGAGCAGAGTTCGCTGGCTGCTCTGTTATGCGTCTTGTCGTCGTCGTCAAAATAATATTATGTCTTTCCGGGCCTTCGCACGAGGGCTCGATATGGCACGTGACTAGAATAGTCTTTAATCACATGACCTCTTTATTCTGCGTGTCCAAATCCACAAACGGAAACAAAACACTGCGATTGTCTGGCCGCAAAGCAGGAAACGCGGGCGTTGACCGAGGCACTGTGGTAGAGTGGTTAATACGTTGCACTGCTACCGCTATACAGTTCTCTGCATACATAGCCATGCAATTCCTTCGGGAGCCAGGGTTCGAATCCCTGCGGTGTCGCTTCTTTTTTTCTCCTCCGCTTGACCAGAGGAACGCATCTTTTTTGGATGTCAAACATGATACCCTCTGTCTGTAGACAGTTATATCATATAATATGGAGCACATATATGTGGCAGCTCTCTTCTGTTGGACTTTTTGTTCTGGATCGTCGACGCTGTTACAGGTGATTGAGGACAGATGCTTGCTACAAGGGGTGCTCACGTCCATCCGTAGGCCGGCCGTCCTCTGCTCTGTGGAGTTCAATACGGCAGAGCCTGCCTATGTTCAATATACATACCTGGACCAAGTTCCGTTCCCGTGTTTGAAGGAGAACCACCACGGGCGTGGTTCAAACCTGATATAATCCCTGAGGACACCTCTCAGAGATCGAGAATCACACATGCATAACCATTTGGAAGTTTCCAACTGCAGATGCAGCTCTTTTCACCACCTGCCAATCGAACGGAGACAAGTTTTATTATCCCACATGTACGTGTAACTTCGTCTGTGTCACATTTGGAAAGCGCTTTGCCGTCTCTCATACATCGTGCGCATCACTTTGGTAAGCATGCGAACATCATCATTCCAAGCTGAACCCAAGGCTTGACATATTCACGGTATAGAATGTGAGTTGAGACGACCTTTTTCTTGCCACGGAGGCTCCCTGGATAGCTTTCTCGTCAGCACCTATTGAACTGTGCCCATTCTCAAGCAACACGCGACTTACCCTCAACGATAAATACGGCGGACACTTTCTCAGTATAGACCCTAGAAACCCAGTTTATTGTAACCCAGCGGCTATCGCTATCATACCTGGATTAACATGCGGTAAGGGCACGGCTCCTTCGAGTCCAAAGTGCTCGTTGAGGCGCCTTTTCAGGGTAGTTATCGAGTCAAATAATGTTGGGAAGCGACGGGTATAAGGAACATGCACCGTCAGGCTGATAGGCTCAAGTTTGGGCATTGTATGGGTAAAATTTATCGATCGACATCTCCTTCGAGAAGAATGATCAAATGTGACGGGATAAGCAGCGTTGCGACTTCATTAACTCGCAGCTGTTATTCTTTTCGAAGCCCTATATGGCATGGATGGCGCATTCAAGCCGGCCGAAAAGGCTGCTTTCTTTCTCGAAAATGATGCGTTGGGCATCAAATACCCACCCCGGATGCCGTTTGGAACAAATATGCTCAATCTCACCAGGCAGAAAGGAAAGGTTTTGCGGAGAATAAAGATGTAGACGTTATTCTAACTGATATACGTAGTAGTTCTAAAACGAGGCCAAGGTGGTAGGGTTACGGCTGAGGCGAGGAAGCGGGAACTCCATACGTAAACAAGCCAGCGGACGACCGTTGAACTAACGGATAAGCTTGTTTTTTTTTTTTTTTTTTTTTTTTTTTGGTCGCAGGCCATTCTACGTCAGAGCCCTGGGCAGGGGTTGACAACGGGAGTGATGCCAAGTACGAGTGGGATTCGTATGTGTAGGAGCAGTATTAAACGAGATCCATATGTATTATTCTAAACATGGAATTAAATAGGTAGGGGGTATTCGGTGAAAAGAGTAAGGCAAAAAAACAGACGTAGGGCACTCAAAGGGGTGGGTTATGAGATGAAACAGAATGAGAAAAATAACGAGTAAAGAAAAAGGGGGACGCCATCATGGGATGTTAGGAAAACAGGAAGATAAGAGATGAGGGATGAAAGGAAAGAGAAAGTAGTTGAGAAGACATTCCTGGAAATCGAAAACTGGAAAGAGATGGGAAGATTTTCCATAAAACGCCCCCTTATCCAAGCCCGTGTTTTTTTACCTGCCTGTACCTCGTTACAAATGAAAAGGGATGGGAGGGTTGAAAGGAAGTAGAGAACCCGCAATGTATGCCGGGGTAAGGGAAAGGAGACACAGTAGATATGGTGGTGAGGGAAGCGAGAAAATGAAGTAGATGTAGAGAAACTCCTGATATCCTGGCAAGCTGACTCCGTTGTTTTTTTTTTTTTTTTTTTTTTTTTTTCATGTTGCGTTGCGCTGTTGAACCCCGTTTTTTGACATGTTAAAGACCTAACCGGACCAGACCCGAACCTGGTATAAACCGAATCTAAGACCTAGAACTCCTCCTCTGGAAATGTGAAACTCGTTCTGCCAATGCCATCGTGCTTGTTTGCTAGTGATTTGTAGGTGAATCATGTAGATGACTGTGATAGGGAGCGCCGGATGACGAAGATGCCGACTTCCACGCCTTCTCGCTCAGCGTCGTCCATGGGCTCGGTCGTTGCTCGCTTGCGGATGCCGTCGACGACATCCCGAAGGACCATGGCACTAGTAACTTCTCTATCCATACCCATACCTTTGCTGGCGGTGTGGTGGCGGGTGCGGTGATCGTTGCGCCAGTAGTCAAGTATCTCGCGGGCGCGAGGGGATTCCTGGGCAATGTACCATTCTGTCCAGAGGTCGCGGGAGAGCGGGATGCAACCGGGAGAGGCGTATGAAAGAGTAAACGTGGTTCGGTCGCGATATGTCAGGGAGGAACAAAGCTGAGAGACTTTCGAGTGCATTGTCTCAAAGGGGTCCATGTGTTTGAGCGCAGGTGTGGAGCTAAGTGCCGTACCAATGTCAGAAGGCAGGCAGTGTAGGCCGACAAGGTTGCGTAGTAAAGGGTCCAGGATAGGGTTGAGATAGTGTTGTTTGAAGCATTGGGCGCCACGGAGGGTGGGGTATACAAGGAGTAAGGTACCGTCACGAGGCGAAAGTTCTCGAAGGCGATCTAGAAGTACTGACGGCCCGCTGGTGGTGAAGAGGTTTTGGTATTCGCATGTTGAGGTTGGTGGAAGGTAGCGCTCGACGGCAGCGATGTTGACGCTGTATGGGGGAACAATCGGCGTGGGCACGTATGGTGCTTGTGACTGTGCTCCGCCAGATAAGGATGACGAGGAAGAGGCGCTGGTGAACGGGTAGTGAGGTGCAGCCGTAGCGTTAGAGAAGACAGTCATGTTAAAATAGTCGTCTCCGGGAAAGAGACGATTGGGTGTGCTCGGTGGAGATGTTGGTAGGCTGGAGAGGGAGAACTTTGGCGGCACTGCATGGGTGATGTTGATATAGGGCGATTGGTCTGGTTGGAGACGGGACTGGATCGTCTGAACAATGGGGCTAAAGACGCAGGCAGGAGAGAGAGAGCTCGAGTTGGGGAGGTTATTGGACGGAGGACACGGGAGAGTTTGGGAGACCAGCTGGACAACCTTTGCAGGGTCCTTGGATATAGCAAGGAATGATACTACAATCAAAGTCAGCAACAAGTTTGCATAAGTATGAAGAGGGGGGTGAGAGAGTGGGTAAAAAAAAAAGGGTGTCATATGGTCGTACCAGCAGTTACAATTCCCTTTTGCAGAAAGAGAAGTCTGTCGTTCCCGTCCTGCAGCGGCATGCCGCTCGGTATTGGCAGCGAACGGGAATCATCTGCACTGTCCGGGTTGTTCTGGTCCGGTTGCTGTTGTGTGGATTGCTTGGGAGTGCAGCTATCCTGGGGCTGTTCCTCCTTCATGGTCACCTCTGCGACGCCGGAAGATCCCTCCTCTGTAGGGACAGTGGCTTCAGACGAGTCATTGTTGGGAGCACCTGTAGCGGCAGGATTCCATTGAACATGATCATCCGATTCGGGCGGCGTGATGGGTAGTGGAGATGGATATGAGACGTCCATCCGCGAGTTGGGAGAGTCAGCAAAGGGAGACGAGGATTTCGACGGCGAGGCTGCTGGTATGGCTCCGTCGATGAACGAGCCAGAGGGCGAGGTAGACGGCCGCTGGTCTCTCTCCTGGTGGGCTGCTGCTCTGGGCATGTTGTTGGGTGATGGCGTGGCTATCCCCAGCTCTTCGAAGGATGGCAGCTGGAGCTGTCGGTTCTGCTTGGGCAAAAACTGCATGGCCAACGAAGACGATGAGGAGGACGAGGACGAGAAGTGCCGGTCTAGATCGTGGCGTAGGCCGTCCGACGATATGCTCCTCCGAATCCGTTTGGGGAACAGGGGGAAAGCGTTCGACGCTGCTTTGTCCGAGCCGTTGTTCTGGCCGAAGACGTAGCGTGACCCCGGCCCTGGGGAGTTTTGACGGACGGAGAAGCGATGATGCCGCTCTGCTTGACCTTGATCTTGATCTTGATGCTGCTGCTGCTGCTGCTGTTGTTGGCGAATATGGAGGCTGCTGTCCGTCAAGGTTCGCTCACATGATACGCTACGACGGCTCTGGCTAGGTTGCTGCTGCTGACGACAACCGGCGAAAGGGAAGGGAAAGACGAGACAGGAAGACGG